CTTTACTAGCTGTTAAAAATGCTACCCAAAACGCCCTATTTGATGCACATTAAAGGCGCGTTAAAAAATGCACCCCAGATGCCTGTTTTTTGTTGTTGTTGTGAACAAGGCCTAAAGCGCGGCAAGCCTGTGCTGACATGTTTATGGCTCATTACCATAGAATTGAATGGAAATAGTTGGGATGCTTCAACTGCTTCTAAACTCAACATGTAGCTTTATTTTTGAAGCGCAGTGACGCAACGTGACGCCAACACTTCCTGTTTTGATGTGAACAGCTCTTTGCTCCATATTATCTAATGCCAGTGTGAACAAGGCCTTAGAAATTACATACAATTTAAAGCAGAGGTGTCCGTTACATATTTCGAAGCCCTATTCTGCACCAGGATGCTTCTATGTGAAAGACCTGAACCAATGTAACTATCAGGGGCAGACTGACCATTTGGAAACTCGGGCACTGCCCAAGGGCCTGGGGTCAGTAGGGGGCCCCATGAGATGCCCCTGGTACCTTTTTCCATAGGCTTTTTTGAGTTTGGGCAAGGACACAGGGGCCCCATGATCCCCTATTGCCCGGGGGCCCCATGAGTTGTCAGTCCGCCCCTGGTAACCATATAGGACATATCCATACCTGGAATTCTTCTTTAGTTCACACCATAAAAATGCAGTTCCGATGCGTTTCTGCATGCGCATTTTTTTGGATTTTTGATGCATCTTTGACACGTTCCAGTGCATTTTTGATGCGTTCCAGATGCTTTTTTTCCCCCTTTTTTTGGGTCATTTGGGGTCCAGTACATTTTTGATGCATCCTGGTGTGTTTTTTTATGCATTTTACTGTGTTCTAGCACAGTTCTATGCAGGAAAAATGTTCTAATTTTTTTTTGTCTGGAACTGGAACTGCAAACACTGGTGTGAACCATGCCATTGACAACCATGTGACTTACCTTCTGAGCATTTTGGATGCAGAAAAAAAAGGCACTGGAACGCATGCAATGTGAACCAGCCCTTCAAAGCTGAACTCCGGGATATGCAAATATTCTCTTACGACAAGAGGCTACTTTTCATTGCTACTTTTACGAGATGATATCTGAGTTTGCAAAGGAATTATGTTACACAAAGAGCTTTTGCAGTAGTTTTAAGCTTTGAGGTTTAAACCCGTTTCCTGCCAGAGCCACTTTTTTTGCAAAAGTTTAAAAAATAATTTTAGGCCTGAAGATTACATAAATCATTAGATAATCATAAAACATTAGATATTTTCTGAAAGCAGACGATATTACCGCAAAGGTTTAGGAAATGCAAAAGTTACGTAAAAAAACACACTAAAATGAATTTCAGGGCAAATAAATGACCCAAATGTTTGATAAAATATATAAAAGACGAGATTGCACCGAGTAAATAGATATCCAACATGTCAAACCTTAAATTTGTGTGCGCCTGTAGAAAGGACTTTTTTTGTATGAGCGCAAACTGTTGGCGCTATATAAATCCTGTATAATAATAATATGTAAAAAAAAATCTTAAGAATATATTTTTAAAAAATTTTTTTTTCAAAATATACATTTTTTTTTAAATATATTCTTCAAATTTTTTGTTTAACGTAAAAAAGTAATTTTAACATATATTTTTACATTGATTTGTAAATGCATTCCAAAAATGTAGATTTGTATTTTTAAAGACATACGGTATATTTGAAATGTATTTTTGAAAATATTTTTTTCATATATTTTGTAATTAAAATGGATTTCAACATGCAGTATATATATATATATATATATATATATATATTTTTATTGAAATATATTTTGAAATATATTGAATATGGCCAAAATTGTAGCATTTCAAATATATGTCAATATATTTTGGAAGAATATTTTTAACATATATTTCAAACATATTTTTCTTCTATGTGTGACATTCCTTCCCAGACATACTAGCCAGGAAAAGTGACAGGGAAGTGACATCATACACTACAATGTATGGACCTGGCAGCGGAAGGGCTTGAGGGCCATTTACAGTCATAGAAAAGTAGAAAATCCAGCTCAGTGCTCTTGTTCCAGGTCAGAGAATACTGAAATAAAAGGAGACCGGCATGACGGCCAGGCAGCGAGCATTTTCAGAAGGAGAAGTGCCCAGTGACCGCCTGTGTTTTCTCTTCTGTAACATTGTATCCATTCATACAATGATCTCTTTTATTAAGTTGCGTCTTTCCCTTCCAGCCTGGCTGCCGGGCCCCGTGATGTTCGGCAGTATAATTGACAGCACTTGCATCCAATGGGGGAAGAGGTGCGGATCGAAGGCGGCTTGTCAATACTACAATATTAATCTGCTGAGACAAAGGTGAGTGACTTCTAGGAACAAGGGGTGGGCAGGAGGGGCGGCTGCCCTTGGCATTGAAGTATCATGTGAGGTAGGGGGGGGGGCACCACAAGGAGATTGGGGGAGGGGATCTGTGTTGGAGGGGGGGGAGATTTGTGCTAGAAGGGAGGATTTGGGGGGGGGGGGGTTTTTGGGGGCTAGAAAAAGTGATGGGGGGGGGGGATTGTGTTGGGGGGAAGATTTGGGGGGCAGCAGGGGGGTGAGAATTGTTCTAGAAGGGGTGGTGATTTGGGGGATTTGTGTTGGGAGGGGGGAAGAAGATTTGTGCTAGGAGGGAGGATTTGGGGGATTTGTGCTAGAAAAGGTGATATGGTGGGGGGGAGGGTATTTGTGTTGGGAGGGAGATTTGGGGGGCAGCAGGGGGGTGAGAGAATTGTTCTAGGAGGTATGGGTGATTTGGGGGGATTTGTGTTGAGAGGGGGGAAAGGATTTGTGCTAGGAGGGGAGGATTTGGGGTATTTGTGCTAGAAAAGGTGATATGGTGGGAGAGAGGGGATTTGTGTTGGGAGGGAAGATTTGGGAGAAAGCAGGGGGGTGAGAATTGTTCTAGGAGGGGAAATTTGGGGAGGTGTGCTAGGAGTGGTGATTTGGGGGATTTGTGTTGGGAGGGGGGAAGATGATTTGTGCTAGAAGGAAGGATCTGGGGGATTTGTGCTAGAAAAGGGGATATGGTGGTGGTGGTGGTGGGGTATTTGTGTTGGGAGGGAAGATTTGGGGCGGCAGCAGGGGGGTGGGAGAATTGTTCTAGGAGGTATGGTGATTTGGGGGGATTGGGATGATTTTGGTTGGGCAGCAGGGGGGTGAGAATTGTTTTAGGAGGGGAAATTCGGGGAGGGCGTGCTAGGAGTGGTGATTTGGGGGGATTTGTGTTGGGAGCGGGGAAGAGGATTTGTGCTAGGAGGGAAGATTTGGGGGGGGGGTCATGCTAGAAGAGGTGATATGGTGGGGGGGGGGATGTCTGCTAGGAGGGGAAATTCTTTTTTGGGGGGGGTGGTTGCACAAGGAGAGATGATTGGGGGGGGGGGGGGTATTTGGGCTAAGAGGGGAAATTGAGGAGGGACATATATGCTAAGTTGGAGGAGGGAAATATGTGTTGGGGGGGGGGGGGGGGGGGGGATTTGGAGTGTGGAGGAGAGGATTTGTGATCAGAGGTGATTTTTTTTTTTTTTTTTTTATTTTTGGGGGGGGGGGGGGTTGTGCTGGAGCATAAGGGGAGACAGAGGATTTGATCTGGAGGGATGGGGGCAGGGCAAACATTTGTGCTGGAAGGGGAGATTTCAGTAGGGGGGTGGATTTGTGCTGGGAGGAGGGGAGTTTATATATACCTAGGGGGTAAACATGCAGATTAGTGCTTGTTGGGGGGAGATGTTTGCTGAGACATAATGCTCATACATCTTGGGGGGGAGGGGGCATGTTCACCCTGGGCTCTAGGTAACCCTGTCCCGGCACTGGTGACCTCTGTTGGCAGCTGAGGAATCTGGTCTGCGGGTGAAAATGGGATCAGCGGAAATAATATTTTGTTAATTGTGTTTACCTGGGCATACATGGAATCTTTTCTCTAAATATCAAGCCCAATATAATCGGGTTGGTTGTTTGCCCTCTTTATAGTACTTTAAGTGCCACTTATTGTGTGTCGTGCTGACCTCACACATTCTCCCGTGTCCTCTCTCTCTAGGTTACATTGGACTTCCAGCTCCTCTTTAAGATTGGGAGCTTTGATCTTGTTTCATTGCTGTATTACTTTGCACTACTGCCGCACAAAAAGACACAGTTTCATCAAGAAGCAGAAAGAAGGGACCCGGAATGCACACACAGTTAAATGAGAAAAAGCCAACTGTAAAAATCTGAACCAGATGATTCAGATCTCGGTAGACGCCTCCATTGATAGTGGTTGTTAATCCACACATCATACAAAACACTTCAAAACCGTTGAGTGGGCAAATGCCTCCTTCTCCCACGACAAACACTACTTTTGCACAATATCTTGGTAGGAGATATCAGAAGCACAGTTGAGCTATTCAAACCAATGCACTCTTGGTAGAGGCTTTCGTCTGATTTCGGAGTTCTACCATTCCGGAACAAGAATGATATAACAAAGAAGCTTAGTAAATACATTAGAAAAAACAACCTAGACGGAAGTTGCTTCGATCTAATCTGGACCATAACCAACTTATATCAAATGGTTGCTTAAGATCTCGGTTCTGGTGAGATGCACCAAAGGATTATGCCAATGACCCAAAGGTTAAGGTCCAATAGAGTATCGTTTTTTGTTAACTGTGTACCACCTTTCATTGTAACCACCTATATAGGAAAACATAGTAATGAAAATATTCCTAATCGACTGTCAGGAGTGATGTGGATCGGACTCCTAATGTGACTCCAGGGCTCAGTAAGCACTATGTTATATGAACTGGTTCCTTGAACTTGTTACCATTTTGATTTCTGTAACCCTAAGAGATATTTTGGTGGACTTGAAGAGCTACCGCTCTCCGGAGTAGGTAGATTGACTTGCCAGGGTTCCTTTTACTGGTCACTTTCATGCTGCTGCTAATGCGAAAGGATTGTGCAAACCCCAAAGCAATGTAGAATTATAAGAGTTATTATACTGCTGTTTGCCATTTTCCCCCTTT